TGATGAACAGGATAGGACTCAGGTTTGTTCTCTGGGATATACCACTAGCTATGTGCCTTCAGGCAGACTTTTTGCCACGATTCACAGCACTGTGAGCTTGGCTTTTCAGACAGTTTTAAATCCACCTCACAGTCCTAAGGATCCTATTACTGAGAGAAGCCTTGGCCTGAACTAAGGTGCAAATGAGACCATATGCCAAAGTCAATTGTACGCATTTTATTTAAGAATAAAATGTCAGTGAAAAAGAGAGGGAGAGAGCAAGTGAGAAGAAAGAGAGACAGAGCAGAAGACAGTCACCATCCATGGATCCAACAGTGTCCTTTTGTCCTTCTTTACCCAGGGGTTTTTGGTTGTAGGGGTTCTGAAGTCATTCAAAGCTTTTCACTATTTACACATTTTTGTAAGCAAGGAATTAATGGTCATTGGCTACACAGTTCTCTTATTCTATTGGTTAAATGATTCCCTCACTTCTAATGGTACTTAGTCCTATGCTCAGCCTTCCTCTGGGTTGTGAGTTCAATCTCTGCCTGCCAGAATTACCTTTTACCCAGCCTGAGCTGACTTCAGCACAGTTGGTGTGTTTGCTTTCCTTGTGGCCCATAAATTCAGCCATTATCACTAATACATTTCTCTTCCTCAGCTTTGTTTACCTCCCCCTAGGCCTGAGATAACACTCAGACAATAGTACCACCTTTATCTTGTCTCAAGTATTCTGCATGGTGTCTTAATTCACAGTCCAAGTTTCACATACCCACAGTGGCATATTTGAGGGAGGGGAGCTCTGATGGCTGAAGATGCCAGCTGTCCCATAACCTGCTGATCAGGATCTCTGTTTGACCAGCGATAAGCATATAAGCAGCAGCTCCTTTAAACACTTTGTCACAGTGTGAATTTTTGTCTGGATTACCCAGGATGTGCTAGCTAAATCTTGCAGGCTTGGAGTTAGGCCATCCTGTCACTCCATTCTGTGCTTATCTCATGGCAATGTCTTTCTGTGGTAATTGTGTTTGAGACAGAAAACCGTGATATTTAAATCCTTATACTATTACTGCCTTAGAATTTTCTGCTAAATAAAATTATCTCTAAGGATAGCTTGGTGTCTTGCTCCAGATCCTGAGCAATTCAAAGCATCCTTCCTCACAGCCTCTGCCTGGGTATGGGGCTGAACACCAGCAGATGCTCTTGATGTCCTACCTTTCTTTTCTGTTCATCTGTGACCTGGAATTCCCTGGAAGAGAATGTGCATCTCATAGCTATAATGTTGTCAAGATTGCAAAGAACAAGAGATGCTGAAAACACATGCACAAAAGCAACACTACACACCATGAAGGCAGTTGTCAGCTGATAGCTACAATAGCTAATCTTACTCCCAGACTTTCATGCTATCAACAATAATTTTCTCTAAAAATGACAAAATACACCTAAAGTCTGGTTCTTCCCTATTTTCCATCTCAGTAACTGAGGCTGTTGTTGACGTGATAAAAACATGAGGTATGTACGTAGAATACTGGGAAAAGCTTGACTTGGATCTGAGCTTCTGTAGGCAGGCACATGCTGTGAAAGACTCCATTGTGCTTCATTGCAGCTGCTCCCTGAGCAGCAATATTGTTTGGGATTTTTTTTTAGAACTGTCTTATGAGAGAAGCAAGATGACTGAACCATTGGCAGGTAGGGTAGCTAGAAACATATCCACTGCTAGACAAAAAAACTCACACACTTCTGTGTAGGCATGAAGTTCCTTTGCCAGTAAAAGTGAAACCTAAGTCCTGTCCTGGATTTCTGCTGTCTTCAACAATTAAATGGTCTTGACTAACAGCACCAGTACTGAGAATTCTTCATTATCAGAATGTGTTAAGATCCAGACCATGTCCCCAGATGATTTCTGACAAAAGCTACCTGTAAAGAACTGAAACAAATAAAAGGCTGCTAATACAAAAAGAGTTAATCCCAGTAGTGAAAAATTCAGCAAACTTTTGCTGCACCCCAAGAAGAAATGAAAGAGATATATCAAAAAAGACAATGAATGAAAAAAATTAATTCCACCAAGCAAAATCTAGTGAAATGACTGCAAAATATTAAAAACAAACCAAATTTTATTGTAGACATTTTAATACTATGGTAGTTAAGAAATACAAGCTTGCTGATCAGGATCAATTTAACCAGAAAATACCCTACAAAGAACCTGCTCTTTCTCCAAGAGATATTAACAACATTTTACAGCAGACTTCAAGGAAAACCAAATTTGAGCCTTTGAATTGTTACTGCATTTTTACGAAAGTATGTATCTCAAAAAAATCCAGTATACGACAAAAAATGTGCATCTCCACTCTATACCTTTTAGGTGTTTTCCTATGGAGGATCTCTCAGAGTTGGAGTAGTCTTCATTATGTACATTTTTAATAATTTAAAAATAATCTTTCTCAGGAATTAATAACAGCCCATATAAAGGAAAACAATATTGCTCAAGGAACAGTTTATTGTTTAAGCCTTGAAGAAAGGTAGAGTTAAACAATTAGAAATATCCAGCAAAATTGTGAGACCTACTAACCAGAAAAATGTAGCCACTCTCAGTCATCAATTCTTGTCAAAAACATACGAAATAGGCCAATATTAGATTGGATTTTTACTCTTCTTTGTGGCCCTTTTTCAAATAAAACTGTGGTAACATGCTATTAAAAATGATGTAACTTTTTTTTATATAACCAGTTACCATCTATATTACATTTCTTATGTCTCAATATATTTTTGAATATTTACTGAAGGATACTGCTTAATCAGACATCCTGGTTAAAAAAATTTAAATAACCTTTTACTGAAATTTTAGACTATGTCAGAGTAAATTTTCATGACTTTTTATTTCAGGTTTTTTGAGATCAAAAGGTAGAAGCTATTTTGTCTTAACAGGTGAGTTGATGCCTCCCTTTTCTGACATATGAGCAGTAATTTTGTAAGTTTAGAGAGGCAAAAAAAAATTGCAGTTAGAATGCCAATCCTGGCACATATGAAAGAACTGTTTAAAGTTACGGATAATATTTTAGCATACACACCCACACATCTGCATGTAGCCAAACAGGAGCCTATGACTTACACCCCCTAGCTTATAAAAGACTTCCACCAAATGTTTTATTACAGCCTTAAAGATTTTGAAACACTATGCTTAATGCTACTAATAACAGCCAGTCACTCTTAGTCAGAGATGAAGTAACTAAGTGGATTATTATTATTACAAAAAAGCATTTTTGTCAAAATCATGACTATGTGGTGATGGTGAATTTCAGTTCTTGCATCTCTTTAAATTTGCATATATTAAAAAAGATGAAAAAGATTATTTAGTCTAATCAGTAGAGTTATACTTGTAAGTTTTAATTCTATTCATATGTTCTTGAAAAGATCATTTTGTACAGCCTGTAAGAAAACTAAATATTATAGTTGATTTACTGCTGGTTTTCAGATTACGTGAAAGTTTCTGGTCCTGATCCCTTTATAGCCTGTAAGAGGCTGCCCATGCTGGAGCTGCTCCAGTAAAGGAATACAAGCTCATGCTTAATAAAACTCTGATTTCATTCCATCACATTTGGCAGATGGCACCTTCCACAACACATTTTTCCTTGTTCTCTGCTAGAACAGAGTACACCAGTACCGAGGAGTACACCACCTACTGAAAAACCACAGATCTCCCACACAAATTCTGATACTAAAGGGACAATATACCTACACTCACATGCTTTTCTAGATGAAAGTACAGTGTACTTTGAAAAGTCATGCCACTAGAAATAAAAACTTCCTTGTACCTTCCTGAAAAGTAAAGCCCTAAACTACCTTGTGCCATTCTTCAGCACCTGATTCCCACATTAATTTCTAGTATCTTTTACTATAATTTAATAGCTGCTCTTTCACTTTCACTTGAAAATACTGTGTAATGCAGCAAGTATCAAATGATTGTTGAACTGGCTGCAGTTTGGTACATTAACTCATCAATCTATATCTAAAATAACTATAAAGTGCTTTAGAATAGTTTCACAAGAAAGATGCAAATAAATACTGTGCCCTCCTATGTACTCTCCTGTGAGACATAAAGTCCTGGAGAACCCACATTTAAAAGTATCCTCAACTATTACAGCAATTTACAAATTATACTGATTTCTTACACAGCAGAATGCTTCTGTCTCCAGTATTTATTTGGGTCATAGCCGGCAGGCTGCTTGCCCTCCATTAGCTGTCTTGCTGGACACGAATACACTCATTTGAATGGGTAAAAAAGGTACAGTACTACACTGGGAATCTGCACAAAAATGGTACTCTTGGTGTGCAGAACTTGCGGTTGTTAGTTGATTCCTTCTAATTGCTATTAGCTGAAAAGATGAACTGGCAACACACTGCAGTATAATTTTTCTTTTTACAGGCTAAAATATCCACAGCGGAATTCTAACAGATCTATCAATTGTCAAAATTTCCAAGGATTTTGATCACACCACTGAAACAGCTCTGATGGATGTCTATATAATGCATGGTACAGCACTGCTCCTGCTCCCAAAAGATCTGAGTAGAAATGGGAAGAATCTTTAGTGCTTTTATGTATTACGAATTGAAGCACCAATGAGTGAGGGAAGTGTGTCAACACAGTCAAACCCCTAATTGACTCTATAGATGACAGTAGTCATTTGTAGTACACAGACCTTCCCTAAAAACTGGGAGTACTTCTACAGAGTAACCATTTTATAAATTAGGGCTAAATTCTTTTTCCATCAAAATCCCCTGAAGGCAAAACTCCCACTGAATGAAGTATGATGTGGATTTCACATTACATTTGTAACAAAACTCGAGTACTTTGTCACATATAGCAGAAGTATCAAACAGCTTCACAGCATGCTTGATGCAGTCTATTCCAATTCTGAATTATAAAAATGCAGTATCAAACATTTTACCTTTTTCAGTATTTTTCTATTCACAATTTTTTGGTTCACATGACTGTCATTTTCCTTAACTGTTATTTCTACAGCCTATAGAGGGAAAAAGAAATAACAAAGGAAACAGAAAACAATAAATCCTATTATCCAGTTGACTGAATAAATGTAAATGATCACCATGTCCATATCAAAACGCCATCCACGGCTATCATCCTCGAAGTCCATATAGTCCATCCTGTGAGCAGCATGTGGGAAATGCCTCCTTGTTACAGTATTTGAGCGTCTCCGAAAACCTGCTGAAAAACAGACTAGGAGATAAAAATCTTTTTAAAAGGAACCAGATTGACTAGCAAAAAAAAGGTAACACTCCATCCTCCAGTTATCAAAAAGACAAATAGAAGCAGGAAATCTCACACCTCACTGCTAAGTTTCATCACTTTGTCGGACAAGAAGCTATCTGTGGAATTGATTTTCTAAGATTTAAAAAGTAACACTGTGTTCCATGTCTAGAAGATAATATGTTTGTTTGTTTGTATTTGGAATTCTCTACCATTATAAAGTAATGCTATCTGCTTATGTTATCCAGATCTATGACCATCTGTCAATTGGTGCCTTCTTTCACTGAGTTTAACTCAGTGATCTAGAAGTGAAAGGCTCCATATACTATAATCAATCTCTTCAGTAATTAAGCGGGGTTCCCTAAGTCTACTCATCTGAATTCTTCAGTAATCAAAATACATCCAGATTTGCACATACATAGTTCAACAACTGAAACACATTTGAATTCCTACTTCTAGAATCCGAGATTCTTTTTCAAAACTGTCTTCTAAATAAATTGTGCTTACTTCAATATGATGTTTATTATGTTTAATATAATGCAGACCAGGTTAAAATTCAATTTTTAAATCACTGTTTGTATGCTGATAACACTGCAAAAATATATAGGCAGATGCAAAGAAGGAAGTAAAAATCCTGTGACTCCAAGATGGCCTGAGTGCAGGGTCCTGCCAAAATGTCTGTCCTCTTCATTGTTCCCCAGACTTTTCCATGTAGCAAGAGAAGTACTGCAGAAGCACAGTTCTTCCCTATGTCAAGACATGAGGTTAGAGACAAGTCTGTGCAGCTGTGTCAGACAGTATGGTGTGACACAAAAAAAGAGCCTGGGAGCTGTGGTGCAAAGGCAGACAATCTGTCCCAGCCTGATAAAGGACAGCTGTACCCTGGATTTCTGCTCTGTTTTCATGTAATGAGCAATTTTTATGATTTCTATATTCTTTAATAAATTCTGACAAGAAAAATGCCTTCATATGTCTCTATCTCCAGCTAGAGTGGAAATAAACCATGTTTTTTAGCCATCTGCAGATAAAAGCTGAGAGCTGTAGAGTTCCTCAAAAACCGAACAGCAACGTGGAGTAGGGGTTCAAATTACGAAACAGAAGACCTAAGGGAGTATCAAATGCCTTCTAACATATTTTCTACTTCTTGAAAAAAAATCCTATCATATATAATTTTAATCCTCAAATAATACAGTCCCCAAATAATTTATTCACAGACATATATTTTTGAAAAAATGTATTTTATTTAATTTTCTTGCACATGCCTGCGTTGTTATACTCTGAACAAGAACTTCTACTCAAATCACATGAATATGCATGCACAGTGCCAGCAGAGTCTGGCAGACTGTTAGTGGGAACCTGTTACTAGATAACAAAAACAATGTTGTGTGCAAATCACACTTTTATATGCACCAAAGCATGCAAACCAAAAAGGATTTTCACTACAGCATCAGTAGGCACATCTGTTGTACTTTGCAACCTTCTGTTGAAGTACTAGCAAAACACAGAATGAAACTACAAAAAATTAAAATATTCTCCTAATTTTATAAATTGAGCTACTTTTTTTTTTAAACTTGAAAATAGAAGGTTTCAGATAGAAAATTTTACTCTAGAAATGTTCTCAAATGAATAATATGCAAGCTACAATAGCCATTTACATTATAAGTGCTCATGTAAAATTAAATTACATATGAACAAGTGTTCTGAGGTTATCAGATATACCAAGGTACATCATTTTGGCACAGTCTCTTCTTTCTGCAGCAGATAAGATAGAGCTATTGAAAGACTGTGAGAAAAAATGCAAGTATAGACTGAGACCTTCCCATATGTACCCTTGCAGCACCTGGCAGCTCAGTGCACTAGATCTTTGGAAGCTGTTTTCAGAAAAATGTGTTAAACCAGCATTACATGTGTCTCTGCATGACTTTGGAGAAGATCTCACATTGACTTCATTTACTGCACTTTGTGTCCCTTGGAGTATTGGAGTAAATAAATTGTTTTCCTTTCAGGTAAAACTAGAAACAGAAGATGAACTCTAAGAGCTAAGAAGTGTTCCAGTAAAATGCTTCAACCACTAATGGACATCTAGCCCTTGGGATTGCAAGTTGCCTCACATGCAGATATAGATATCTGACCTCACAGCATCAATTTTTGTGCTCTATTAGGCTGACATAATTGCTAATGCAAGAATGCCTCTGAGAGACAATGAATAATCTTTCCTAAAACATCTTTATGCCATTCATAATTCTACAGACCTCTTGCATCTGTCTTCTCTAATATGCTTTCTAAACAAAAGAACTTTTGAATTTCCTTGGCATGGAAAACGCTTCTATACTTCAGACTATCCTTTTCACATTATGCTTCACCCTGCTTTATCCTTCTCTGAGATGATGTAATCTCAAATTATATGTAAAATTTGAGTTGTGGATCACCAAAAACCTAGGCAATGACATAATAGTTTCCATTTTGTTATGATTTTAATAATTCCTGCTTACCTTTTTACTGTAGCTGTGCATGAAATGTTTTCAGATTAATCCCAGTATTATCTAAATGTCTTTTTTTCAAATGGCAATAGCTAATTCACAGCACATCACAGTGAATACTATGCATTACAGAGGTGCATAATGCCTCTATGGGCACCTGCTCCATCATCACCTGACTGTCCTCATAATGAAAAGTGTTTTTCTTACTTGCAAACTGGACTTTCCATATCTCTTAATGTTCATCCTCTTGCCATGCACCACTGCAAACAGCTGGTCTGTCCTCTTGGTGGTCTTCTTAAAGGTATGACAAGGTTGACTGGAGATCCTCCCCAAAACCTACCCTTCCCCAGACTGAAGAAGTTAGTTCCCTCAGCCTCTCCTCCTGGGTCCCTGTTCTCCAGGCCTCTGAGCATCCTGGCTAAACCTGGGTTGCTCTGTTAAACCTGCTCCAGTCTATTTCCATCTTCCCTGTACAGGGGAGGAAGGCAGAACTGATTTAGATGTGGTGTTTTGGGCAGTAGGGGATAAAAGCTTCATCTACAGTTTTTCATACATCATATTCCTCTTCACAAAGCCCAGGATGCTGCTGCCCTTCTTTGCTGCCAGGGCACACTTCCAGCTCATGTACAGCTTGCTCTCCATCAGGATGCCCAGGCTCTTTCCAGAGATCTGTCCCCAGGCTTTCATGCCAACCTGCCTCATTGCTGGGGCTCTTTCTTCCCAGGTGCAGGTCTTAGCATTTGTCATTGTTGAATTTCAGAGTCCTTCCAGAACATTTCTACAGCTTGTCTAGGTATCTGAATTGTAGCCCTGTGCTGAGTCTATCAATCTGTCTTTAACTTTCCTGTTCTCTGCAAGCCTGATGAAAATGTATTCTGTTGCCTCCTCCAGGACACTGATCAAGAGAACTGTTACCTTCAAGTTCATATTTACTATCTCCAGTGAAGTGAATCATTTAATATCACTATAAATTTCACCAGCTGTATATGTATCACTTTCCCAAATCACATATGAATGTTCTGAACTACACAGACCACCGTGGCATTCCAAGAAGGTCTCAATTTGGCTTGCTAAGTGCTCTTTTACACTGTATTTTCCATCTTATAGTTGGGTCTTTTTTTCTTTTTAGGTGCCTGGCAAGAGGGACTTTGTCTGATGAAGCACCTGCATTTCTCCAACTTCTTGTTCTCTCTGAATAGCAGCCCCACTGAGTCTACCAATTTGTTGACACATGCAGACTTGATGACAGCATGGAGGAAAAGAACAAAATTTCTAAGTATTCTATAATTTTTCAAGTATACAGGTGTTTTTATGTTGCTTTTATGCTTTCACAAATGAGGTATCATCCCAAACTTCTTGCATAAATGCCAGCTTTCTCACATACACACATTAAGAGGCATTATATTCTGGTTATGAAAACGTAATAGCTAAATTGCAAGATTTTCTAGTTAAGATGAACTGTGAGATTTGTATTTCAAAGAAAGATAATATATTGCCAGAGAGGTTTATGAGAGAATAGCAGTTATCCTGTGTGAATGACTGCAGGCATGTCCCATTAACTTCTCATCTCGTGCCCCAAGCTCTAACTCAGCCTAAAGCTCTCTACTGAAACTCAAGTTCCCAAAATATCCAGTTCCTTCCCCAAACCAAGGTCATTCAATGCAACCACCATCCTTCTCAAATCCAGGGATCCATGTCCTCTGTATGAAAAGCCTGAACCTTCACCTCTTGCCTCAGTATTTCAGCTTCACACACCTGTTGTCTCAGAAGTTTTTGTTCTAGAGAGACATACCAAATTACAAACTCTTCTTTCTCCAGGATGCATGCCAGAACCTTCAGCTTTCCTATGTTAAAACTTCTACTATCACCTTCCAAGACCTTTTCCACAGCAAAATAGTATTTTCAACTTCCCTCACTATCCTGCTCTTACCTTCTGTTCACTTTCTCTCTGCTCTCTTTGCATATTTCTCTGCTCTTGCCCTTCTGATTTCACCTGTGGGCTCTCACTGGCTGCCAGCACCTTATAAACATGACTAAACTTACATGATAGCCTAAACATCTCTCATTTTCCATCCCCAAAATCCAAGTCCTATTTTCTCATAGCTGTTGGGCTTTAGAAAACCTGGATACAAAATGTACTTAAGGTGTAAAAATGTACTTTTCTTTCCTGAAACAAGTTTTACATTTACTGTGGTCTGTCTTACTAGTTATAGACTTTTGCTGGGCTTTTGGTTTAAGTGTTGAATGCTATGAAAGTCACAGAGAGGTGAATTGTGTTTAAGCAGTAATTTGTGCATGCTTAAAATGTGATTTATTGAACTCACTGTGCATATGATACAGGTGCCCCTCTGCACACGAACAAATCAGTTGCATGCAGGCAATTTAGTGAGGAACACACAGTAACTGCTTTCTAACGGTGCCAAAGAACCCTGTCTAAAAAAGTCTAGATAAGCAACCAGTTACTGTGAAAATCTGAAA